GATTGAACACAAGAGAGCACATAGTTTTAGAAGGGTTGGATGGTACTTAATCTATAGATTAGGAGCACTTGTTTATCGTAATTTGAAAAGATGCTTAATTGAAAAGAGGGGAGATGAAGCCGGTGCTCGCACCTGGCAGGAAGAGCAATTCCGCGACGCTTAAAATTTGAAACTAAAGACAAACAAGGTTGCCCCAAGTTCGCGGCGTGTTGCGCTCGGGGTCTTGGCCGAGAGAGCTAACAACCGAAACGTTTAGATCCGCCAGCAGGCAGCGAGCGCACAAGCGTCGGGCGCGCTTTGTCGCGAAACGAAGCGAGACGCCCGCGAGAAGAGAGGCAAGGCTAAAATAATTGAATATAAGATAATGTTCCATACATATTCATGGGGCAATTACATCGAGTATTGAGTATCAGCAGAGGTCCACGCGCGTCGAAGAGACACATCCGTGAGCTAATACGACTTTGAACACACGGGCGGTGCGCGTATGTCGACGACAGCGCACAAACTCAAGAAAAAACGGAACCCGCGTGCCCACCTTCTCGTCAACGCGCGAGCGAGTAACACACGAAGGAAAAGCTAGAAGTACCAATATGTGGAGATAAAACATTGTTAAATAAATAAATTGCTTAGATAAAACCGGCATTAAGTAACCGAATTTATGATCCGCAGAAGAAACAGGTAGGTTTCTTCTCATACTCTACGTAACAAAATAAACAAATTTAGTTCTGACTTTGAAAAACAAAAGAATTACAAAAACGAATCTGGAGTGAGAGGGTGGCAAACAAGCGAAAGAGCAATCAGCGCCATAGTGGTCGTGAAAAGCTTTTAATTGAATGTCAAGTCGATATTAATTAAATGCGTATTTAGTGCGCGGTCTCATGTGTGCCGACTGAAGATAACACGCCGAGAGAGCGTAAAACCGGAAAAGCGGGAAATTACGTGTGTATACGTGTGTACACGCACTGCGCTAGGAAAACCGAGCGCTCTGCCGAATGGGAAAACGACAGCCCGCGAAAGCGGAGCGTCAGCAACGCGACGAGGAGAAACGCACACACGCCGCCTACCGCCGCCAGGCAGGCAGATAGAGGTGAGGAAAAGGGAGCACGAGCGCGAGCATTGACAAAACCGTGGAATATTTGCGCGGAATTCTTCGCCATATAGTTGTTAATTAAAGTCCTAATTCCGCACCAGACAATGACAGTCATCAAAATAGATTAAATTTGGATGAGTTTTATTAAATCGCTCGCGGGCTTTCCACGCCCAGGCACGATTCACCTTCGAATCCGGAGACTTGACTCACGTAGCAAATGTCAACCATACTTTATGTATTATTTATTATTTATTTATAGAAAATAAAAGTGAAAATCGAACACCCGGTGCTCCCTGATAATAATTTAGCATATTTTGATTTGGCTATCTTTCACTAAAGTATACGTAATTACGCCTGGTAATAAATGAATAAATTATTGATAATAATAACATTTTAACGGTAAAATAAACAAGTACCACGGCACGAAAATAATTAACTTTTGGCATTGTATCGTATTAATTATATGTTAATTTGACCTGAAAACCTTCTTACATCGCGCGAGCCCGCTGAATGGCTTAGCGGGCGCAATGTGTAATTAAAAAATCGATTTAATTACCAGCCAGAGCGTCTAAAATAGATCGTTGAAAAAAAAACATGGCTAATTTCAAGAATGTGCTGCCACTCAGCCCACACAATCCGTGTTTCAAACCATAACGCCTTTGGTGGTTATTTAAATGTATTTATTAGAGTATTAGACTATTCACATACTGCCCATGCGAGCGTAGGCAAAGCAGTCTCAGCGCGCACTCATCCGCGTTGCGTAGTGAGCATCATAATAAACGCCGATAAGATAAAATCAGCGGATCATGTTGCAAATTGAGTGGATTAGAGCATCGCATCGAAGCGAACGAAACGGCGGGCGCACACAATCCCCGGTCGCGTTCACCCTCCGATTCGAATCTTGGTGTGGCTGTACACACAATTGATTAAAGCCGCCGCCGCTGCCGCCGTCGGTTGCTCGCCAGCACACTCAACTTCCACAGCTCGACGCGACGCTCGCCACCGCCACCCTTCCGAACGTACCGCCAGCACAACCCTCTCTTTCAATTCGTGAGCTAATATTAGCAAATGCGATCTCTCTAATAGGCGACTTTATTTTTTCACTAATGAAATGTTTGTTGATCATTAACTGACCTGTGTCAACTTGAAAATTTCCACGCAGCCCACCCAAGAAGGAAGCAAAAAAGAAAAAGAAAACAAAACAAACGCAAAATAAATCTCGTCACCTCGCCACCTCTTGTGATGACCAGCAATTAAGCAAACGCGTTTATAAAAGTTTAGGAGTGACTACGTAGCTGTAGCACAATGAAACGACGAATTCAAGAGCGCGTGTACGACGTGTCGTTTACCACACTCGATGTTTCTTCATTCCTCAAGCTCCTCCAAGCCGCTGATGATGCTACTCGACGAGCGATCGTGAGAAGCGTAAGGCACGCAATAAAATTCTTCGGGTCACACGAGTGGTTCCACTCCTAGGCTCTCGTCCGAAAACATTATCCTTCATCTGACTAGCGGCCCAGACGAAGGGAGTGAGGAGAAGGCACGCCACGCACGAGAGACGGACTCAGAGGTATCAAAACGAAGGAGACAAGTTATTCGAGAGATTCAAAAAGATATAAAAGATGCGGAGGCAGATAAAACGTCGTCTTGACCAATGACCGCGACCAAACAAAGAAGATCAAGGTTTCCCTCTACGTTATTTTACCTGTCATGGAATTCTAGGGGATGAAAATATTTGAATGATATAATTTTAATTTCGGTGCGTGCTTATGTTCAAATCGAGTATTATTCATGATCGGGTAGGTGCTCGATCGTGTTTCCGAGATGATTTGTTCAAAGGAAAGCGCCGCTAAAATGCGCAAAGATGCATGCAAAGAAGCAAAATAAAAAAACACGAAACGAAAAGAAAACGCAAAGAAGGACCCTTCTTCTTCACTTCTGCTGGTGCACACACAGTCGAGTTTTATACATATTATATATGGCGGCGAGATCTGTATCTTTTAACTCTTCTCGGAATTGTAAATTTCGTGGCTCGAATTTACATCTTTTTTGAATAAAAATGAGCGCGCGCAACTTTTACGAGTACTGCCACAATAACACCGGCCGCCGCTCTACCTTTGCAGAACGCGCCAAAACGAATTTACAGTGAAATACAGAGTGTTATCGAGGTTCTTCGCAAATTACGATGGAATCTAATCGGGCTGTAAACAATGTTTAATGCCAATTTGCACTCGCGGAATATCGACGTCAAAAGAACAGCATACGCGCTTGGATTATCCCGGCTATTAGTTTGCAGTTTAATGCGTTTGTGTAAAAAGCGCATCGCACAAGACAAATCTTTCCGCAGCGCACATGCTATTTCGCTGGTTTTTGCTCAACACCACTGCACTGCCACCCGCACGCCCGCCAGTCGCGCCGCATCTTGTAAACATAATCAAATTTATTAATAGAAATAAAAGTTTTATTATGCAATTTATGTCTTAGTCACATGTAGATCTCGCACGCACAAGACACGCGAAAATTCCAAAGCGGGTTATTCCTCGGTAAGTAGGATGCGCGAGCGAAAAATAGTGCCCGGTTGCATTCCCGAGCTGCCGTAAATGAAATAATAAATTGGGAGGACAGAAATATAAACACGAGACGTTAATATATTAAAAGGGAACGAAGCGGCCAGAAATGTCGAGACGCGTTTCGCTTGCCTGGCAGCGTACGCGCGCGCGCTTTGCATGCATGGGTGTCTCTCGATGTCAGGAGATTATTAATGGAAGGTGACGTCACGAAGACGTCGACAACGGCGGAAGGATGCCGAATGCATGCGTCTTCGCAACCACACAAAACCGAACACAAAGTGGCAGCGAGTGGGATAAGATGCATTGTAAATAACGAGTTTAATAATAGTTTAATTAGTGAATATTGTACGCGTACAGTACGGGTGAATATAAACGCGATGAATTAAGGCTAGTACTGAGGTTTTATATGAAATTTCAGCATTCAGTACCACATTCCATTCAAGAAGCGCATCGCGCCGCTGATCCACAGGTTGAAAAGTTTTTCGAACTCGCGGTGTGGAGAGCTGCTCCCCGCGCCCCGACGAGAGACCGTACGAAGCGATTGAACCCGACGAACGACTAGGAGAAGTCGCGCGCGGCACCGTGGAGAGAAACCGCGACGACCCAACTATTAAAAACGCACACAGACGCGACTCGAGGAGTTTGTGTTGCCTTGTGCCCTGGCGACAGCAAAGCGAAATCGGTAACAACAGCACGACCTTTGCAATTTACAACGACGTAAACCCTCCAATTCAATCTGCATCGTCGGGGCCGACCAGCAAAACACAGTGCGTGCGCGCAACACACACACAAAGCTAGTAGAAAGAAATTAAAAAAAGAAATCAAAATTTATGTCCAAATATTGTATACGCCAACTTTAATGGTTGCAACGGCAGCGCCACACGGAAATCTATTAAGGATCTATTCTTCTTTTCGCACCTCGTGGAAATAGATTTCGTTTTTTTTCACCCTCGTCGCCACGTGAGGAAAAAGGTTTTCGTACTTGGCTAGCGAATGATAAAGCACTATCGAGGCGATTAACGTATGCAAACGAGCACGTTTTGTGGCGTTGCTGATTAAAGCGCGCTCGTATTGCTAACATGCTAACGAAACATTGATAAGACAGAAAAACGTCAGGCGTTCAGCACCATAGAGTTCCATACTTGACGTACTTGCTTAATATTAATAACTTGTGATAATGAAAGGGGAAGCGCGCGGCGAGCGGCTAATACGCCGATAAAGAGACAACGCAAAAAAGGAAGTAAACATTGCGGCGTTTGTAAACAAACCTTCGTGGCGCGATAAAAACAAGTGGATGATTTCTATTTTACTCTACGTACAAATATAATACGCACACTTACGTTTTGATAGCGGATGATACAACGTGGTCACTGGTTGTGTTGTGATTCGTTTTCTGAAGATTGTCCCCAAACTATTAATCAAATTAGATCCTCGAACGGATTGGAAACGCGCACTTGGTCACGAAACAAAAAAAATATAACAATTTCACTTTACGACTGCGGTGCTTTTTCACGCGCGCACTTGTATCTACTATTTACAAACCTATCCAACCTTCAATTAATGTAATATGCACAACGAATCGGTCACAGTGGTGTACGTAACAACTATGGTCGCGTAATTATGCAAATAAAAATTCAGCGAACGCGTGGTGCGGAGCGGCGAAACGACGTCGTAGCGACACGCCAGCCTCGAGTCGACTGAGTGAATTTCGGTCGCGCTCGCGAGCCGCGCGCGTCTGGCCCGCGTTCTCGTGCACACACGGGCACAGCCGGTGAGTCGATCTGGCGTTCAGCGGGCACAATCAAACATCGGCCGGCATCGCACGGCTTCGTATTGGCGTTGTACACGTGCGTGAGCGAGAGCAAGTTAGTGTTCGGTATATCTGCTCGATTGCGGCATGCACCTGGTTCTCTGGCGCGGAACTGTCCTGCCGTCGGGTCGGGTGGTGAACGCGACCCTGCGCTGCGCCTCCTGCGGAGTTGCGAGCGACGTTGCGGCAGGCACGAGCTCTCTCGACGAAGTGGGTGCGTTGAGTGCGCGCTCCTCGCCGCCACAGCTAGTCGAGTGGTTCGTAGCGCTGCTTGCGAGCGTGTCCGCTGCCGCGCCGCGGCAGAGCCGCTCAGAGGCGGGCCGCGGCCTGTTCGCGGTTGCGCGAAATGCGTGCCAGTAGGAATCGCGAAACGGCAAGAAGCGCGCGGCCGGAGGTTGGGCATCGGCGCCGCCGTCTCTCCGCAGGTGACAAATCAGTTGTGTTTGATTGGACGTTCGAACGTTATAGTCCAGGTATCGGCCGCGCCGAGAGGATGTGCTCCACGTGCGTGCGGCGCTTACATCGGCCGCACCGGCCACCTTCATTAATTTCTGATCGCGCTCGGACGCGCACGATACAACTTCATATTGGTGCCCCCGACTGACCACCACCGCCGTGCGCCGCATTGACTAAATGGTATTCCATCCAATTCTATTCTCTGCGGCCTGCTGCTGCGCGCTCCTGTTTAACTTCTATTCTACTTTAACATATTCCAGAATCCATCAGGGCCACGGTAAACTCCGTAATGGACAATGGGAGCGTCGAGTCCAGAAAACGGGGGGGCAAATTTATGAGAAATAAATGATGAATTCGCCCAATCGAGACGTATTCATCACTTATGCATGTCTTGCTTATATGGACGTCAGGCACCAACGTCGATTTATTTTGCACGGAATAATAAAATGAATTATTCCGCGCTGAATTATTTAGTTTCCGAACTTTTATTTCAACGGAACCTAAACGAGCTTCTCATGTTCGTGCTCATCAAATATAAAACTTATTTTCGCCCAAATAAAGTACTCACAATGTTCCTCCACGACAGTATTATCTCAATATTACTATTTATTATAAACATAAGATAATTCAACTTCGACTAAAAATTATCATAAATTATTTTATTAATAACCTGGCAGTAACTAATTTGAATAATGCCGGTGGTATTTGAAGAATGTCTGGAAATCTGTAATAATTTTAAACACTGCTATTATCAGACAAACACTAGAACGGCGTATAAAAAACATCGGCATGCAGTCCACGTCATGGTCGAGTAAACTTCAAGTGACCTGAGGCGAAACGCGATGCCGCTGCACTGATAAAACATTTGATAGATGCGGCATTAATCCGAAGACCGCGCGGGAGCGAAAGTCCCGCACCCCCCGGAGGTGTCCCTCCCGCCGACGTTATAATTTTTTAGGCACCCACACATACATCGCTCACAAGACTAACCACAACAACGGAAAGAAAACAGAGATAATCGTTCACGCATATGTAATGCGCTGCTGAGCGTAATGATGCAGTAAAGGTATTCACCAGCATAAATAAAATGCGCGGACGAAGAAGACAGTTCGTGTACGGTGCCCTGGTGCAGGGGAGGATAACGGATGAGTGGTTTACGCACGACCCGCGAGGTGTATATGTAGGCAAGTTGGTGGTTTTTGTGCTAATAAGCACCTGCTTCCATATGGTCTGATTCATGGTGGTTAAACACTGTATTTGGTGCTTTCTTCGCCCCGAGCAGGGTTTTAAATTTGTTTTGTTGTGTGTGCCTTTGTGCTGGGCATAAATTATTCACAAATTGAAAGCAGACTATTTTCTCAATCTTGCTAAAAAATATTTCACAAAAACACAACGCGCTTCAGGTTTACGAGTACCTATTTGAAATAAATTCATGATTTTATGCATAATTCCAGCTGGCAGCTTGACTTTAGAGTTTGAAAACTGAACTCAAGTGTAGTGAAAATTGTTGTAGATTGGTATTAACAGCCAAATTTGTAGTCGGAAGCAGTAAAATGTTGAAATGCAGAGATTTTGATTTCAGCCCGTCGATGATAGATAACAACGGCGAGGAATTAGTTGTTAAGTACACGTTCACAGTGCATACCAATGAGCGCCGGAACAATAGAATGCTTTAAATGCTATCAGCAATATCGTGCATAGCGCACCAACGTAATACTAGTCAATAGGTTGAACACAATTCATATTTCCAGTACATTAAACCACTTGAAGCGGAAAAACGAGAGCACAAATTTGGGATGCAGGACTACTTGATATCACCAGCGCATACGCAAAAAAAAACCGGAATTTTGTTGTAAAATTCAACGAATTAAAATGCAATTCAAGTTATTTCCGGGATTAAATCAAGCAGGTAAATATTTTAAATATAAATATTCAATAATATTATCTGCACAAATGTGTTAAATGTGCTTAAGCATATACCTGCCTATTTACTTTCCATCAGAATACAATATGTTAGAAATGCGAAAGTAATTAAAATCCAAAATAATACGCGAGAAGTATGCTCTCATCGAAATTACAACAAGAGTAAAAAATGAAGCTAAAAAGCGCGTTGTTTGAGGCGAAACGTTTAGTAATGAAATTCCTCGTGAGCTCTCGGGGATTATTAACTCTTTCAATTTAATTAAGGTCTTCTATTTTAATTAATTATATTAAATTTATGCTACACAATATGTGGTTAGCATAAGAACTGGCTCGTGAAATTTTGCAAGTTATTTATGAACTCGCCCAGCGTTCCATCAGCCGCTCCTTTTCGCGCTCATTGGCGGCGCAGATTCATCTTTTCACTGCACGAATCTTTTGCCGAATCTCGCGCATGGTGTGCCCCTAATGTGCGAATATGCGAATATTTCAGTCGCTATGCAACAAGATAAAACAATGTTCAATGCGGTGCATACTTAACATACTTTCATTTATTTTACGCGTACGGGCGTATAAAAGGTAGGATTAAACTATTAAAATAAAGAATTCAGATATTGAAATTGTTTTCACTGTTTTTCAAAACCACGAAATATATATACCTACATTAAAAGAATTGAACATTCCCAAGTTGATCATGTTCATATTAGATGTAATGCAAGGACATAACTTATGCATATCACTTTGTAGACTGAGCATAAACGGCGAAGACCCTTCCAAACACCAGTAGATATAACATTTCGTATTTTAGCATTAGACGTAATAAACTCGTCTCCGTGACTACGTTTCGATTTCTTTTTGCTCCCTTTTGGTGGATGAATTTCTGATGCAACGTCAGTCGCTCCCAACTCTCACTCATATGTCTCATTGCGCCATTTTTTTCTCTTGCTGTTGTACCTTTTAAGATCGTTTCGGTCTCCACGTATATGAATTTGCTCGTCCCGCATCAGACCATGATGTTTTTTATAATTCATAAACACGTTTACCATAACATTATACACGTTTCAGGTGAATATTTTATTGCGGACGTCTCAGCGACACGGAATGTGTGTGTCATTTCAAAAATTTCAAGCCCAAGTAAGTCTAAAGCGAGCAGAAAAATAAAAATCATAAAAAATGCACACCAACTTGCATTTGATATGATGTTGGGTTAATAGTTGTAAACGTAAAAAACCGTGCGGATGGAAGTGAAGTGTGGAACATTTACAGAACAATACTACAAAGTCTCTACAGCGTTAAAAAAGTAATAATAATAATACCGCGAAATGTCTTAACACACGTAACACCATCTGAAACTCGGTACTCGGCATCTGAGGATCTTTCGTAAAGGACTAATTTCATAGTATTCATTTTTTGATGTTATATACGAGTATCAAAAATGATGTGTTCGTGTTTGATGCACGTTTCGCACAATTTGTTTATACGGCGAGAATGACGAATAAACCGTGGCACGAAGACGGGAGAAGAGAGTATTCGGCGTCTTTTATATTCGACTTAAGAGCACCTGTCGATGTTCCCGCGTTAAATTGCAGAGCACAACGACAGTAACGTGAGGGCGCAGTATCGCATATTTCACAAACACATTGCGCAAGCGAGGGCAATCGACATATATTGTGCCGGCGCGGAAAACGCAAGCCGACGGAACAAAAACGTTAAAGAGATGAATGAATCGTATCAGGAATCGTTTCGAGATGAATTGAGTTGTGAAAGCGGAGATTCATAAAATTGAATGTGATATTATATTATGCCTGTAGGTGTAGTAAGGGACAAACATAGGTGGGCACTAAATACTCCTTGAGGTTGCGTTTCACAAATTGTAATCCTATTCGGAACATACAAGACTTATGCTTAGAATATACTTCAAACTTGAGTTATATGCTAGAATTTGTGAGAATATATAGAAATAATTTGCAGTATCAAACTGCTACCGCCATCTTACGCGAAATAATTAACCAGAGCTGATGTATGATACTCATAAATCACTATATATAAAATTATTAGTGAACTTTTGTGATATGAAAATGGGTCATAAAACTACCATTAAACAATTTAATATTTTATTATTTTGTTCGGGCACTTTTAACTCAACTTAACAAAAACATTGAAACTCGAGATAGTTATTATCAATTAAAACTGTACGCAGAAATGCCTGACTTTCACGCATCATAAATTTTCATAATAAACGTATTAAACTTCAATTTAATGTTTTATCACTTTATCAGAGATATTTTTGCACCCAAATTATTTTACTAGCCAAGAACAATCAAGTAACTACTAAAATTCTTGTAATGCCACATTAAATATGTTGTTATAATGGTTGCCGGAGAAGTAATTCATTTTATATAACTGTGCCTGTACACTTTGACGATTGGCATACAAATTCAGAAATAAGTAATCACTGTTCGCCCTATTGCATAAATATTGTACTTGCTGTGTATTGCAATCGGCGCGTATACTCAAATGTATGTATTATTACGACTTGCCGCCACATTGGTGGCAGTGTCACATGGTTCTTAACGTGAACTATGTTATTGGGCGTATAGAACACAAATGGTAGTCAATAAATGAACATGCCGTGTTTATTATTAAAAGTTGCAGAAACAATTACAGCACGCGAACCGCACAGTTCCTGAGTCATCAGAAGTCATCGCTGTTGCAATTGAACAATAGAATTATTAATTGGTTCAAAGCACGTCCTATCGGTAAACATTTTAGTACAGTTTGAAAAGTTGCGTTTTTGGTCTTGTGTTTATTCGTACTATGTGCACATCACTTTGAAGCTGGTTACAAAACGCTTTGTGCCCAAACGAATTTATTAAAACTAATCAGTTATATTAAACCGACGGTAAAGAGCAAACGGTGAATTGGTGTGCTTTAGCAAATTAACTCTCTTTGTGCCTGGCGTTGCTGCGTACACGTTAGGTGCACTCGAATCGACAGGACTTTTCGGCAAACACACATACACAGGATGCGAGAATCATAATATTGGCATACTATGTGCGCACTCCTGTATATGAATAAATAGTAAAATAGCAAACGCACAATAAAACAACAAAGGCTCTTTTGATTTTCTCCGCCCGCTCACTTTTAAGCGTGCGTCGAAAATTTGTTTTCCCACAATTGAACTCAAAAGCATTGGAAAATCAACTAAACACGCTCGAAAACAATAACACGCCATAGAACAAATTAACGAACTAAACAAATTTGTATTGTACTGGCGAATAACACGAATATTGTGAGTTTATTTGTGATATTGAACATTTTCAATTGGCCAGTGCTTCAATACGATGCCAATTTTCAACTTTGTTTGAGCTCTAACAAAAAAGGAACGCGAACAAAAGATTTCTATTTACGTTTTGCATATTTGTGTTGCAGTGTTGGTATTTTTTTAATATTTCATATTTTCAAAACATATTACCTATTTTTTATTTTCAAGAAATTTGGACAATAATTTTTCAGCCCTAAGCCCATGAAAAGTAATAATGTGAAATAATTAATTTTGCCTTGTAGTACATTAAAATAATATAAGAAAAATAACTAGAATACCAGAAATATAATTCAAGTTAAACTTTATACACATTGTTGTACATCTGCGATTGGCAC